ACTTTTACTTTCTAATCTTTGCTATATTCTATTAGAATTAAACCTACTTCATTCATTCCTTCTACTATTACTACCTTTTTCACTATTTCTATTCATATTTCTATATATTATATTTTCCATTTCTATTTGTACTGCCAAGGGGAAAATATAATTAAAAGCCTGATAACAGGTTTTCCCTTGGCAACACTTATTTAGACATATAACTTATATACTAATAAGAGATTTATACTGATAGAAAAGCCCAGTTTTATCCATATTGTAGATCCTTTTAGAAGGGTAACTTGTGCATTTATTTTTTATTGACAGCATAGTGTTGTTAATTGCCACCATGTCAGTAGATGCAGCTTCTCCTTGAAGCTATCGTAGATGAATACTATTTCGATTCTTGAATTTATAAAGCCAGCCAGGAGAAAAATTTGGTGTCTCTTGAAGGATTCCCAAACTATCAGCAAGTATCTTCGCTTTTCGATAAGTAAAGTATCAGTTAAAACTTTCAATGCTGATAAATCAGCATGAACTCTTTAAGGGCAAGATCAAGTTCTGGATAGATAACAGCTCTGTGACGCTTTGTTTTAGAATTACTAATTCCATTGTCAAATCGTTCCTCAGATGTCTTTAAAATACATGAAATTGTGCTTTCATCGACTCTAAGACCCCACTTGTTTTTAATCTAATTAATATATTGTAATCGATTTTTTTTATTAATACGAGCAAAGGCACAAAGTTCACTTTTTTGTTCTTCAGTAAAGGTTGTTCTCTTGGGTATTTTTTGAATGAAAAAAAAGTTGATTAAGCATAGGATAAGTTATTTAAAGTTTTTTAATTTTAATTTATAAATTTAAGGAATAACAACTTCTAATTTTTTTTTTTTTTTTTTTTTTTTTTTGGTTTTAACAGGTGTCATTTTTACAAATAAGGCACAGGTGTTTTAGTTAGTTTGATACAATATTAATTTGATCCATGGACAAGAAAAATTTAAATCAATTAAATCAGTTAAGTTTCAAGAAGGACATTGGATTTATTAGGCTACACTTCATAATTATAGAATTTTTAGAGACAAATACAAACTTTTTTATTTTGTAATAGTTGTTATAAGGAGTTGATAATAAACAAGGTTCTCATTTTATGAGATGTTTGTAAACAATAAGATGCAGGTATGTTTTTTGAAACTTGACACGAGGCTTTAATTCAAGTCTAGACTCAAACCCAGAACTGAACTAAAATTGAAATAGAACAGGATATGATTTTGTTTTTAAAATTTTGTATTGATGTAATCGATACTTATAATAATAAGTAATAGTATGAATTAGATGAGTTAGTGAAAGGTAATTTTAACATTTTGAATCAATACTTGTAAGTAGCATGTTAATTGGCCAAATTTGACATGAAATGAATTTCACTTACTGACAAACAGATTAAAAAAGTAAGTTCTTGAAGTTTCTGGTTCGTGAATGGTATCTATACTTGAATTTTTTTTTTATTTAAATAAATATATATGGCCGTTGTTCAAAGTAGTAAACAGTGTGATAGGTAAGGAAATTAGTGTTACATTTGAAAGCGCTTTACATTACAGTGCAGTAAATAAAAATTAAATATAACTCTGCATTATTTTGTGCATGCTCTTGTCTTCTAAAGATGGAATGATGAAATGTTATCAGATTAGTAAATGATTCTTTATTATGTATAAAAAAAAATTCTTACGGTTAATTCTCATTAAGCCATGATTAAATATTTAAGTTGTTGGTTATGTGTTTGACTTCGCTTTCATTGATTACTTACCCGAATAGTTGCAAAATAATGCGCAAGGTGTAATTTCTAATTTCGGCCTAAATTAAGCTTAATTCAGGCTAAAACTCAAAATAACGCTTCTGTACGTTATTTCACAACTATAATTTTATAAGTGCACACCTTCTCTAAGTGTACACCCATGCCTGATCCCCAGGGTGTACACTTAGGGGGTGTGACTATATATGTATTATTATTTTTTTCTAATAGTTTTAAAATTTATTACTTATAACAAAAAGAACCAAAATGCAAATCTTTATCTGAATAACTATAAAAAATTAAATTAACTATATATTTTTAATACTTTATTATTTAAAACTACTATATTATTATTATTATTTTTTTTTTTTTGGTATTAAAATGAGGCCTTGCTCATATCTTTATTAATTAATTTATATAAGTAGTTATATAGAAAACTATATAAAAACTTAATTTGT